AATGATTTGGCGGAGAAAGAAACAAGTTTACAATTGCAGGGAATCGTGAATAAAAGGAAACAAACAGTTAAATGAAGTCATGTTCATAAAGTGAAATTGTACGTAACATATATATATATATAAACTTCTGCCTTTTGTATACATTGTAAAATAAAATCAACACCAAATTTCGCAGATTTTATAAAAAAATGTCGTGGATTTTCCAAAATTTCATTTTGTTAGACTCAAAGTTTTGAAAATTCGATCATCCAAAAACCTTCCCTGGGTCACGCGAGGTCCCACAAAAAATGTGTGCCCGATCGGCTCAGTTGTTATGACGTTTATTGGATACAAACAGACAAACAAACTTGAAACAGTCACCTAGCCAGACAAGGAAATTATATATATAGATATATAGATTATGTACTATACTCGTACTACATTTGAAAAAGATATAAGAGAATAAATTGTAATTTTGCCCCCCCCCCTAACCTCAGTCGAGACCTATATACTAGTATATAAACTGTGTAGAGGCCTATATGAAAACCTCGTTGTGCATTAACTGTATAATCAAAAAACCATAGACAAAATACAATAAAACACTGACAAAAATACAATAAAACACTGACAAAATACATCTATACAATACACAACACACATGCTTATTTCATATCGCAAACTTATATATATATATATAAATTAGCTGATTTTTTTTTTCGAATTTTGAAAAAACAATTGATTTAAAAAAATTATTTTTTTTAGACTAATTGTTTTATCCTATGTTACAACCCCGGGCACCAATGGGTTCCCTCAAAAAAATTCAGCCAATTTGGTGCAGCCGTTTGGCCAGCTATAGCTAACATTTATACAAATATATATATGAGCGAAGAGCTTTATTACATAGAAAGCTGGAGTTCCCGGCGTTGTTCGTGAAATTGAACAAATAAATTTGATTTTTGAAGAGGTTGATTTCAAGGTATTCCAATCTGGTTAAAAATAAAAAAAAATTTGCCCATAAGAAGAAATAAAAAAATTCGCGAAATACAGAGGTAAAACAAAAACTCTGTCGATTTTTGGACTTAAATTATGACTTTAAATATTTAAATGAACATCAGGCACATTTCACTTAATAAGTGATTTTATAACTTACTAGTGAAGCTATTTGCTTTATAACTGCATCAAATGCACTTCAGTATTGCTTCAATGTATTCTTCCTATTCTAAAGTTTTCTGGTTATCACTGCATGATTTAAAAACAAAATATGAAAGCTTGAAATGCAACTGTTAACAGCTAATACTGTTCCTATAGCGAACCGCCCTGAAAAAAATGACAGGAATGCTGTTTTTGGCGCATTTCAAAAAAATATGTTTAAAGACGACTTATATTGTTTTGTCTATGTTGCATCGTATCCATGAGTAAAAGTAAGGAAACGTATTGAGCGTATATACAAGCCTAAAATTATACAATTTGCTAACAACCCACTTAAACATTCACACTGGGCCTGTAGTTATATCGTGGTATTGAAAAATGGTTGGGTGGGGCCCTAGGAAACCAACCCTTCTCAGATTTAGTAATTTTAGATCGTTTCAGAACCTATCATACAGAGCTTCATGGTTAGAAAGGGGTTCAAGGGGACTGTTCCCGAACCTATCATACAGACCCTGGTTAGAAAGGGGTTCAAGGGGACTGTTTCAGAACCTATCATACAGAGATTCATGGTAAGAAAGGGGTTCAAAAGGACTGTTTCAGAACCTATCATACAGAGATTCATAATTAGAAAGGGGTTCAAAAGGACTGTTTCAGAACCTATCATACAGAGCATGGTTAGAAAGGGGTTCAAAGAGACTGTTTCAGAACCTATCATACAGAGCTTGGTTAGAGAAGGGTTTAAATGAACTATTTCAGAACCTATCATAAAGAGATTCATGGTTAGAAAGTGGTTTGAATGAACTGTTTTAGAACCTGTCATACAGAGCTTGGTTAGAATGGGGTTTTAAGGGACTGTGATCGAAATTTCAAGGATTTATTTATTCAAGGATTAATGAGACATTCGACTCTGTCTAGTTAAAAATTCTTTATTTTAAATTGTGGTTTCTCTGCAAAAATGATGATTGAGGATATTTTTTCGTGAGTCCGTCTGTTTCACGTGAAACTGATACTGCACTGCCATTAGTGAAATTCTGGTGACGTGATACAGACGTATCAATTATATCTATTAAAAATAAAAATAAAACCTAAGCCGTTTATGCTCCTCTGGGTTATCGTAATGTTTAGAATCGTTGCATATTTGCTGAATATGATCTGTTTAAAACTTTGATTCCTATACATCTCATCTCATATATATAACGTTTCGTATAACGTTGGCAAAGTTTTGTATCAATTTCTCGAGACCTCATAGGTCGCGATCAACTCCTAACGTGTTTAGGTCCCTGCTTATACCCCCTTTCATTCTTCCTTAACAGTCCCTTTAAATAATTTATTGTTGTTACTATTTCGAGTGAGTGATTTCTGTCACTTACATGTAAATCTTTTAAATTACGAAAACAATAAATCCTAAACCAGCCATTTTAAAGCTTTTTTGGAGAAAACGAAAAGACAAAAATACATAAAATTGTAATTTGCCTTTTCGATATTAAAATCCACGGTATACGTTAAGGGTTGAATAGAAAAGAACGAAAAGAGTAAATAAACATGTACGGAAGAATGGAAGAGAAGGGGAAGGATGAGTCAGTATAGAAAAGCAGATATATCTTGAAATAGCTAAGATGGGAGTTGTAAACCTAACTCAAAATATACTCAACAATATGTAAATTTCGTAACAGAGAAATATATGACGAGTATAGCATCAAGAACTTAAATTGATAATTAATCAAATTCATATTTTAAAGAATTTCGTTTGTACAGATTCTTGATGTATGACTAGAGCTGGGCTTCGTTCTTTCACAAGAACGAACGGAACTGTCAAGAACGATCCCATCGTTTGTTCCGAAAAAAAGAACGGAATTCAAAGAATGTTTTCTTTAAAATATTGGAAAGAAACGGATATTAGCTTAAAAGAACGTTTAACATAAGTAACGCGTTTTTATTATCAAGAACGCAGTCTAAGTCAGGAACGAATTTTAAATCAGGAATGTATTCTAAATAATCTAGAAANCCCTCCCTTCCCCGGCCTCCCTCTCCCAGTCCCGTAAGGGAAGGGAGATTTAGGTTGAAAAAAAATTTTTCTATAATTTGTTTATATATCTTTTTAATATTATTGAAATATTGATTATGAAAATTAATTATTTCTTAAAAACCTACAAATTGTACACTCCTCTTTAAGATAAACCTGGATCTCAGCACTTACACGCATCATACATTTTAAGGATTTGATGACCCCTACCCCTCCCCCAGCTTCCCAAAAAAATATACATTGCTCGGCCCAGACATCATCTAAGCCTATCCTATTAACCCTGAATTTAAAACATATAGTTTAAAGTGTATTTTCGGCCGTGGGAAATTTTTTATTATGAAATCGTCATTTTTAACTTTTTAACAACCTCTTTTCTACAAAACCTTTGTCTTGGACACCTCTAAAGTAAACCCCAGTCCCCCCCCCCCTCCTATCTTCTTGACTAAGAGCGGAACGGGGGATGGAACTGTTCTTTGACTAAGAACACCAAGAACGAAAAAATACAGGATGATCGTTCTTAGACTAAGAACGGAACGGAACAGATTGAGAACGGAACGATTGGAAAAAAGGAACAAGAACAGAACGATCAAGCTGAAGGCTCTCGTTCTAGAACGGAACGGAATGATTTAAAAAAGTCGGTATGTGTCCAGCCCTATATAAAACTGGATTACAATTTTACAAAAGATATTCGGATTTACAAATTCAACTATTTCTAAAGATTTTAAAAAACATGAAATAAAAAATCTGACAGATGTAATTTTTAAAGAATCGGAATTTGTTGTTGTGAATCGGGCATGATATTTTTAAATTAGGTCATATAAAATATCGTTGATAGTCCCTTGAATTGAATTACCTGAGCCAATCCAACCTATCTATCCTGCTTCTTACAGTTTCAGATTCTTTAGGAAGATAAACTAAACTTCTGGCGACCATTGTCTAGAGGAAAAAGTACTTGTTTTACAGGCGCAATTTGGGGTGTTTTAACTATATCTTTTTACTTACAGGGTGTCCCACTAAACATGATCGGAATCACATAACTATGTTTGTTGAAACTTAAATGAAATGAAATATACCACTGCTTAGAAGATATATTTTTAGAATGGAATCCTAAAATTTTGAATCTTTCTCGGACTAAGATAGTTTTTTCAATTGCCACCAACTCTTATTTTTATTTTTTCTTCGCAACCTGATGGCGTAAACATTTAATATTTCAAACTTTAATATAGTAGATCAATATTATCTGGTTCAAATAGATTCTAGTAGAATAGATGGCAACGTAGAATTTTGTTACACTCTCGAACAGTTGTATTCTGACGTCACAAGTGTCAACAGTTTTATGTGTCGGACAAAATTATTAATAAAAGTGATAATCTTAGAATAAAGTAAAACAAGTGCAATTTTATTTGTTCTTTGTTTTCTGTTTTTACAATCTATATTTAATCTTGGAAAACATGTCAAATAATGTGAGAAAATTTCGTTTTCCTTGTTATATTTGACACTTGTGACGTCGTATATAACTGTTCCATTTCTCTGTTTTACAAATTGCCATCTATTGTACTCTATTTGATCTGGATCCATGGATAACGGAATTATATATTTATATACATTTTTTGTTGTTGTCAATTATCTGTCTCAACATTGATTATGATGTAAACAAACGTTAAATATTTTAAGATGATAAAGCATTTTATTCTTCAAAAGTTGAAAGAATTTGATTACTATAGAGGATGAACATCCCCGAAAGAGGGTTACAAATTCCGCAAATCAGAAGTGTCGGATTTTGGAACCAGAGAAGACCTACTCTGTAGTTTTACTCATTTCATCCTCTCCTTTTATATTCTCGTTATTTATAATGTATAAAGGAATTGAGCCTTTGCCACAAACACGAATTTTCTAATCCCTATATTATTGCAGGCCAATGTCGGAGACCTTAGATATTTATTCTATTAGATAAAATAATCCAAGTTTGAAATATTTAAGGCTTACAACATCTGGTTGCAAAAATATAGGAATTGGAAAATTCAAGTTTGTGGCAAAGACTCAATTCCCTTCTAGAAGCAATAATGTACTTTTAAAATACCTGAATAACATCTTCATTAGATCTTGTATTGACATGTCCATGTCCATCTTGTCCCACTACAGCCCATGAGATAATAATTCCATACTTGCTCAGCTTAAATACAAAACGACCATACTTTTTTTGAAATCGTATCAGAGAAAACCGGTGTATAGTTCATTGGGACGAACTCGGTCGACACCTCGCTTGCATGGAATATACCTCCCCTTAAAGTTTTAACCATTTCAGCACAATGTTATAGACATGAAAAGCAAGTTAAAACATTAGAATTTATCAGTTGACATAAATTAAAAACGTAATTTGTCCTTAAATATATTGAAAAGGGGGTGAAGGAAAAGGTTATTTCCTCCTAGATGTCGTCTTCTTTTCAAATCACAATAAATATTTACTCGAGACGTGGATAATTTTTAATGTGTTCTTCCAGTCAAAATACGTTATAATAAATATCGAAAAATTTCAAAACATTGCTTTTATGTCTAACATTGAATTGAAATGGTTTTAACTTTAAGGGGAGGTGTTTCCATGCAGGGAGGTGTCTCCATGCACGACACTGGTTTTAGTTACAATTTGCACTGTTAGAATTATTGAGATAGCCCTTCTGTTAGCAATTCTAAACAAAATGTTAAGGCTGGGAAAAGTTTCGTAAAGGAACGAAAGGTTTTGAGAATTTAAAGGTAAAAAAACAAAAGTACTCCTGAAACAGTTCGTGAATTTCACTCAGTAATAAAAAACCCGCTGATTTCGGTATTCTATAATCTATAGTAACTATTCTTAAAAGGTTCGGTAAGATGGCTATAGATTTCAGGCATTTTTGCCGAATTTTTTAAAGAAAATTAAATTAAAAGCTGACTTTAAAATTAAACCTTCTCAGATGAAATAACCGATATAGAATTCTCTATTTTTAATTTTTCCCAAATTTTTTATAATTTTTTTCAAGCAACGTATTTTGGTAAAACTTTAAAAGGAACAGAAAAAATTTAAAATTTACTCACCCGAATCAAATTATCTGTGAAAACACATTTTTATTTTATATATTATAATAGCATTCACTTATGTTTAATGCTTAACCTATTCTATAAATGATAAAAAGTGGGGCCGGAAATACTAATCATGGCTAACTATATTGTCTTTAATGAATTACTAATTCTATAAAGAAACATTTTTTTTTAGAAGATATTAACATGTCTTACATTAAAATTTGTTTTCTTTTTATATATTTTTATTTCAAATTTCAAGTTCTTCGAATTAAATTTTCTAATAATTTATTTGTATAATGGAAAAGTAAAACTAGTAAATGTTTAATTTGTCAATTTACTCCTACTTGATTATGAAAAACAAATCTTGAACGTTTAAAATATAAAACTTAGATTTTTTTAATTTTAATTTTGTTTCCATTTTACTCCAAGCCAAAAAAATATAAATGTTCGATTTCCTAATTTACTGCCTATATGAAAAACAAATACTTAACTTTAAAAATATTTATGTACAGTGAGAACCAGAAAAATCTGGAATAGGAAGTCGACTTTTTACTTAAAATATGTGATTCCATAATTCTCTAGTAATGTTATTTGCTTTGTGACATCATCAAATGCGCTTTAATATTGTTTCAATGTCGTCTTCCTACTCCACAGTTTTCTGGTTCTCACTGAACAAATTGATTTTAATATTTTTAATATTATCTGTTTTAAATATGTAGAAAGTAAGCATGTATATATATATTTATATATATACAGAGTTTCCTAAAACTCAGATTTTCTAATCCTCTATCTTTCTAAACCTTTTATGAAACTTGAGCTGAAAACTTTAGAATGAAATATCCAGATATCCCGTCGAATAATTAATCTTAAGATTAAAATCATTCATTAATCAAGCAATATTTAATCTGGAGATTAAGAAAAAGAGTGGATTAAGCCTTAATCCTGATATCCACCATTCTAAAGTTTTCAGCTTTGGACTGCTTGCTTTAGAAGAATTCATATTATGAAATATTAAAGTTCTCATACATCCAGTTGACAAGATAATAATAGAGTCATTTTTAGATTTTCAATTAATAAACGTGTTTAGCGTCAAAAGCAAGGTTAAATATTCAAACTAACTTCAGCAGAAAAACAAATGTTTAAAGTTTTTAAAATATTCTACATTTTGTTACTTTTTCTATAAAAATGTTTCCTATATAGATCATCATGTATTCAGCTGGAATATGTTCTCCTACTTCTATACTCACCACCCAGTCAAAAGGGGCCCCAAGCGCATCGAAATCTTAATTTAATAAACAAAATTTAAAAAATGTAAGAAAAAATCATTGTTTTCGGAACTGAATGACCGAAAAGGGTTAAACACTTGGTTAGAAGTATAAATTGGCATGTACTTAGTACTCCTATCGAAAATTAGCCCGATTTTATACCGTCCTACAGCTAAACATATTATATAAGAAGACATATTGGCCGAATTTTAAGAAAATAAATATTCGACCAATATTAGGATTATATTTATTTTTGCATTCTTCTACCATTTACATTTTAAACTATTATTTCTGTTAGATCAAATATTTAAAGTTTGAAATATTGGGTTGCAATGATGTCATGGTGAGAAGATTAAATTTTTAGGTGAGTAATCAGTTTATTCTTCTGTTTCGCTACTTAGCGATTTCCCTAAAGACCTAATATATGTACCGTGTGGTATTTCTCAGGATTGGATCGTAAGACTCCCTTCTCTCAACGCTCTTCATAATAAAAAGGAAGATAGTAAGGTTCCGAACGTTTATTTCTCTGAGCCTTCAATCTAAACAAGTTTAATAAACCCACAGAAAAAGCTTTGAGTGAAAATCATACAATTACAACAAATTATCCACTCAGGCATTAAAAAACTGTGGCTAGGAACCAATAAACATATACACAATTATCAATCATACTAGAATCAACCGATAAGCATAAATATATATAAAATAATTACCACAGTGATCCCAGAATTCTGAACACGGATAATACTTGCAAAACGAATAAACATATACTGATATAAATTTAACTACTACTCCGCGAGAAATCTTGCGTCTGCGCAGTCGGACTGTAAACAGTTCCTAAACTAGTTCTTTCCCAATACATTCCGTACAGATCTTCAGGGAGAACTCAGAAATACCCAGGGGTGACAAGCAGACTTTCTACACGCAGCATGGCTCGCGTAACATCTTCAAATATAAATACGAACCGACCGATACAACTGTGGAATAGGAAGACGACTGTTGGACCAATTTCACAAGTTACTAAATCTCAAGTTACTAAAACTTTTCACTGTAGGACAACATTGTCTGTCTGTAAGCGCGATTTCAAGCGACAATGCCCGATTCACAACGATACCCTTAAAAGCTTTGTCTGATCAAATATGAATTAGATATCAATGCTTTTAATTTTGAAAGCTAATTATTTTCAATTTTGGTTTCTCTACTAATGTGATTTGCGCATTTCTACTCCATGATAATATGAGATCATCAATAGTTAACATAGACAATATCTTCCACATTTTTTAAAATATCAAAGTTTAAAGGGTGCCGTTGTGAATTGTTGCATGGCCGTCTTTGCATGGAGGTTCACTTGAAATTACGCTTACAGTCCCTTTAAGATTGCTTAAATGTCCCCTTCATATTCTTTAAGTTTTAAGGGTCCTACTCTATTATTTAGGATCTAAACTTACTTTCTAAATTTACAGGTATGCTGGCATCTAGGAAACAAACCTTGGGAACTAGAAACAAAAAATATTCATTATATTTATGTTAAAATGTTAAAATGGCGGAATTTGAAATATTTTTCTGAAAAGCAACATTTAGCGTTTTGAAATCTTCAATAAAGAAAAAGTTTAACGTTTATTTCTTAAAAGGACTACTAAATTTTTTTTGTGGACTTTTAAAATTTTTGAAAAAATCGAATTTTTTTTAGGCACACTTTTTATAATTCTGATCCTCTGTATCTACTTTCCCTGGGGTCGTAGGTTGCCATACAAAATTTGGGCCTGATCGGTTCTGCAGTAAAAACGTTTATTGGATACAAACAGGCAGAGAAACAGACAAGCAAAGTGTATATATATAGATAAACCTGTTATAACATCATTTTCTTGCAGAGTAACATTTTTCCCGCAGAACGAATTCACATTACTTCCACCATCCAATCCAGTCCATTCCACAGATTTTTCGCCCTAGATGTAATCATCTTTATGTTGAACCCAACAATTGTGGAATATTAGGACGACGTTTGTATTTGTGATGTTGTGATGTTGATTGATTTACCAGACAGCTGAGACACATAATCAACGTAAACAGAGAGGAGTTGTCAATTAACAGCTTCTATTTGTTTACTTGTAAACTTGTTATTTGAAAAATATTTATTATTATAGTTATCCTAGAATTATTGATAAAACATCGTCTTCAATGTATTAATATAATGGAGCCCATACAAAACATATCACCACAAAACTTATCACCACAAAACTTATCTTTTCAAAACTTATCAGCGACAAAACTTATCATCACAAAACTTATCAAACTACAAAACTTATCAAAACAAAACTTATCAACTGCAAAACTTATCAAACTACAAAACATATCAAAATTAAAACTTATCAATAAAATTCATG